GAGTAAAAGTTAACCGGGCCAGTGCAGGAAATCAGGAAAGGGCTCCAGGCCCTCCCCTTCAAATTGGAAGAGATTTCTTGGAGCCCGGTAGGGAGTTATAGGAATGTTTTTGATGATTTTGGCAGAGTATAAATTGGGTGAACTGTAGCAAGGGAAGCCCAAATACAACTACATTTCTCCTATCCTTCAAGTAAGTCAGAATGCCAAATATAAATCAGTGGATCTCTCTCTCTCTCTCTGATAATCAAGAAAAAAAGAGTTTATTGATTTTTAAAGCCTAAGCTTTAAAAATAGCAAAGTAAGTAAGCTAAAAAAAAAAAATAGCACTGCCATTCTCAGGAGTGGCATGCAAATGTCTAGCTCTTGGTAATTGAGTCAGGTGATGGAAACATTAACTTCTATGAGCACACAGACATCAGTATGACTCTGAAACAGGGTGGGCACCTGTCCCCATAATAACACTGAGGAGGCTTTCTCCAGTGAAGGTGTCTCTCTTGGCCTGGAGCTCAGTGAATTGTCCTAGTGTGAGAAAAGTCCACTCACTGTCCCTGGCCCTAGTCTCAAGGGTATGACTTATCTCTCAGGGAAACTCCAGGTGGGTGATTTCTATTTTCTCTCTACACTGGAAATGTTGCTTTAGAAGAGTCCTTCTCAAAGTGTGCTCTGCAGACAAAAGGCATCAGTATCATCTAGGAACTTGTTAAAAATGCACATTGTGTCACCCCTAACCTACTGACTGAGGAACTCTGGTTTGGGATCCAGCAATCTGTGCTTTAGCAAGCCCTTCAGGTTCCTCAGGTCCCACAGTCCCTTAGGAAATGTCTAAGGAAGTGCTCCTTGAAACACATTTCCAAGAGAGATTCTATAGGTGATAGTGGGGACCAGAGCTTCCTCGTAGGATCTTAGAGAACACCACGTTCTGCACCTCCTTCCAGAAGACTCATGATGCATATTGCCATACTAAAGTAGTCCTGTGGCAAAGAAACTGTTTAACTTTGTTGAGCAAGGTCATCCAGACATATATGAATATGGAACATCATTTACTTTCTTATCCTCTCTTTTTTTAAAAGATGTTTAACTTCATTTCAGAAAATTTTTCCCTATTTGCTTTATCATTTGCTTGTATGGTGTCTTTCTCTCTCATGGACAAACAGATGAATACATAGATAGATAAATAAACAGAGGTACAGATAGATAGATATAGATATCTGACTATATCTATATAGTCAGGATTATTTCCTGAATCCTATCTCTGCTCCAGTCTCAATTCCCAATTCCCAGTCTAATTGGTGTCATCTGGATCAGTGTCCTTCCACTGTGTCCAGAGCATCGAATTCAAATTATACCAAATGTCTATTTGGAGATTTCCCCTGGGGGTAGGGGTGGTATCTAGAGAGAGCTCATTATGACTTGAGCAGATGGTCCTAACAGGATTTTCTATGAAATAGGTTATGGGTAAAATACAGATAGCCTGTTTGCACAGATATTCATGAATGGGGTGAGGAGACAACACGGATGTTTTATGAGAAGTAATACTACATCTGCAAATTAAAGGTAGAGTGCATTTGCTTGGAACTAACATACTGGGCAAATGCACTTCACAGAAATTGAACTGCAGCTAGTCATGGCCTCTTCATCAGATAATGACAGTAAAAAGTTTGAAAACTCCGTCAAAGTGAACAAATAGCCCAGATGTATTTGAAATAGGAGAAACTGACTAGATCTTATAATAGTGTGACAAATTTTGCCCTTGAAATTATTCTGGGAGAACTTTTGTGTTAAGGTGATAATAGTGGCCTAGATCTCCACATCCTTGCTTCAGAATAAAAATGCCAAAGCACATACAGCAGACCTTGCAGAAAGATAGCCACCATACTAATCTACCAAAGTTAAGCCCTAGTCACAGAAAATACCTTGATTTTAAGGATTCATCACAAGGCTGTGAGATTTACACTATATCCACTAGGTGGCACCAGCAATACCCTTTTTAAAATGTTGAAATGTTCAGATCCTTCGAATAAGTCTCCAAACCAGTGCTTTGTTCTTCAATGTAGGGATGAGGAAATTGGCCAAATCACTGGTTGTTTAATTCCTGAGTTTGTGTCATCAACCTTCAAGTAAGGTTTAACAGCTATGAAACTCAAAAACACCTTGCTCCAGGTTTCTTAGTCATATGTGTGTCCCTGTCACTGATCCCACTGAGGTGAGAATCAGGTCAGTGTGTCATGCCAAGCCACCGAGACCTGTGGCATGCGCCCCTTGGAGCAGGGGCTTGTGAGTCAGCACAGGCCTCTGGGTGACAGACACCCGTGTGAACCACAAAACGCACAACGTTGGCAACGAACAGAATCGGCACTCCAAATAGAAACCAAATTAGCACCATTCGGGCAGAAGGAGGGAAGAAAGCCCAAACTACCAGCCATGACAAATCTTGTCTCCCACATAAAAAATGAGCAGTTACCTAGTACCTGGGGGCAACGTCAAGTTTAGAGGAAAAGCATGTTTAAGCTTCTCAGAGATTTTGTCTCAGGTGACTTTTTTTCTAAAAATTTACTGTGATGTCTTACTTTATCTAAATTGTCAAATATATGCCCTAAAATTAGATTCTGGAAGAAGGGAAATTTCTCTTCCATATGTGAACCTAAACAGGTCGAATTCCATTGCATAAATGCTATTTCAATTCTATGCACACACATACACACACACTCAAAATTCATAATAATCCACTCTAGAATTAATTATTCAATAATGTCACTACACACCAGCTGGGCAAGGAACAATTATAACTACGTGATATTCAGAGAATTCTGCTTCTGTTAAGTCTTGGTTGTAATGCAACTGGACTCACATTATTCAAATACACTGGTTATATCTTACAGTTCTTTACAAGTGAAGGTGTTGCTGCTCCCATTTTCATAGCTTTATGCCAGATTAAAGGACATTGTCCGAGCATCCTTAGCTGTGTCCCCATCTCCTGCACCAAAAAGGTTTAAAATTAGCAACTAAAAAGTTTTTTTGGTTTATTTGTTGTTTAATGGGTACGTATACTGGTAGCCTTTTTTTTCTTGACAACCTTGTCTTCCCTTCAATAGACTGGGCACTAAAAGATAGCACAGTACAGTCACAAGCAAAACAGTTCACCCTTCCAGTTCTATCCGAAAAGGAACGTTGTGTTCTGTGGTTAAAGGCATGGCCTTCATGGGTTGTGTGCTTCAGCCAGCCTGGGCCTGGGCTCAGTGAGTGCCCAGTGCCTCGTGGTTTTGCCCAAAAAACAACACAAGGAAAAAGGAGTTCTGTGAGCTGTAAGTGCCTCTGAGCACACGTGGTACAGTGTGTATGCTTGTGTTGGCTCAGTTTCTGGCAAACTCTG